TCCGATCTCCTTGTGGTTAATGTCCGCCCATGATCAGGAGCTTTGCCCTACAGTATGAGCTCTTCTCCTTCTTCGGCCACTGCATCCAGTGTTGTCACCATCGCTCTATGCTCTCGTCATACTCTGCCTTGGCCCTCCTGCTGTTCTGTGGGGGTTATACATCACTGCAAATATCACCTTGGGACCATCCAGAGTGAAGCGTTCCCGCTATGCAATCACTTTCTTCTCCGCAGTCCTCCTCTCTCCAGCTTCATCAAAATTCACATCGGTGTTTTGATCAGCAATGCCCTCCTCCCCCCCCCTGTTCCTTCTGTCCTTCTCCTCAGGATCGGTATCCTCCCGTTGGGAAGATGGCATCCTGTTATCATACCTGTAAGTTTGGTTCCTTTCCTTATTGCTATGTTGTCTGGTGATGCCTCTTTGACTCTTTCGCCACTCAACCTTACTCTCTCTCTACTACCCCTTGCTTTCTTCACCTCTCCTTTTTCCTCCCACTTGTTTTGTTATTCCATCACGTTTGTGTACCATACCTTCAGTTTCCTTTCCAACACTGTGTTTGGGGAGCCTGTGGGGTGGGAAGACCTGGTACAATACTGTGGGATTCTTGGATGGGGGTTGGGTGGAAGTCTGTGGGTAATGGATTGTATTGTGTGGTTGGGGATGTGTGATAGGTGTGGGTTTCTGAGGATAGTTGTGTGTGTGCTTCTCTTGCTTGCCTGTTCTCCTCTGCTCTGACTGACCTCTGCTGGTTCCATCCCATGCTCCTTATTTTCACCCAGCTCCTTCGCTTTTTTGTCCTCTTCACCTCACTGCTGTCTCTCTTTTTGTGTTCTGTCTCTAAATGATTCCTAGAACAACCTTCTTGTACTCTTCCGAGGCTTCTCAACCGTGGTTTTTCTTGGAGGATCCTGGTTCCGCACTTTTCTGTCCCCTAAGAATCCAGCTTGATCGGTCAGGTTTCCTTCCTCTCCCCTTCAAAGTACCCCCCTATTCTCTGAAAGAAATTTTACAATCTCGTCCAATGTCTTCTCCCCTTATTTCCGTGATGATATTTCTCAATCTCCTTTCTTTCTTCCTGCCGTCCTTTCAGTGTGTGTCCTTTCCTCTCTCTCGGCGAAGCCCATGGATAAACACTGATTTTGGCCCCATTCCTCCTCCCATTGCCCTTCCCTCCTGTAAACTCTGGTTCCTGTCTGTTGTGCCATTTTTCTCCTTGATTTTTTCCCAGTGGCTCTTGGTAGCATGGTTGTGCTCAGCATTCGACTTATCTCCCTCTCCATCTGCACCCATCTGCTCCTTCCTCTTCCACCTCCCTGGTGGCCCTTCTTTGCAGCTGATAGGACCTTAGCAATTTCATATCTCCTTCCTTCCTGTTCAGCTCTCAGCATTCGTATGGTGTGTCTTCTCTGGTCACTACCCCTGAGACATGCTTCAGCCTGTTACCCTCAAATTCTAGGACCTTTACCCTGGCTATACTGCAGTTTTCCAGACTTGTGCCTCCCAATTTCCATTGTAGTGGTGTGTATGTGTGAAATGTGTGTGTGTGTGGTGTATGTGTGTGTGAGTGTGTGTATGTGTATGTGTGTGTATGTGTAATAGTGTGTGTATTGTGTTATGTGTATGTGTGTGTATGTGTTGTGTGTGTGTGTGTATTGTGTTTGTGTGGTGTGTGTTGGTGTGTGTGTGTGTTGTAGTGTGAGTGTATGTGTGTGTTTATGTGTTTGTGTATGTGTGTGTGTATGTGGTGTGTGTTGTGTGTGTGTATTGTGTGTCTAGTGTGGTGTGAATGTGTACATCACCTAGTTGTACTCACCTATTGAGGGTTGCGGGGGTCGAGTCCGAGCTCCTGGCCCCGCCTCTTCACTGATCGCACTAGGTCACTCTCCCTGTATGTGTGTGTGTGTGTGTGTGTGTGGTGTGTGTGAGGTATGTGTGTGCTGTAAGTGTTGTATGTGGTGTATGTGTGTGTATGTTGTATGTGTGTGTGTGTGTGTGTGTGTGTGTGTGGTGTATGTTGTGTGGTGTGTGTGTGTGTGTGGTGTGTGTGTGGTGTGTGTGTTGTGTGTGTGTGTGGTGTGTGTGTGTGTGTGTATGTGTGTGTGTGTATTTTGTGTGTGTGTATGTGTGTGCGTAGTGTGTGTGATGTGTGTGTGTATGTGTGTGTGTATGTTGTGTGTATGTGTGTGTGTTTGTGTGTGTTGTGTGTTGTGTGTAATGTGTGTGTGTGTGTATGTTGTGTGTGTGGTGTGTATGTGTTGTGTTGAGTGTTGTGTTTGTGTGTGTGTTGTGAGTGTGTGTTGGTTGTGTGTGTGTGTTTGTGTGTGTGTGTGTAAGTGTGTGTGGTATTTGTGGAATGTGTGTGTAATGTGTGTATGTGTGTGTGTGAGTGTGTGTGAATGTGTTGTGTATGTGTTGGGTGTGTGTGTATGAGTATGTGTATGTGGTGTGTGTGTGGTGAATTGTGTACTTCACACTAGTTGTACTCACCCTAGTTGAGGTGCGGGGGTCGAGTTCCGAGCTCCTGGCCCCTGCCCTCTTCACTGATCGCTACTAGGTCACTCTCCCCTGTATGTGTGTATGTGTGTGTGTGTGTGTGTGTGTGTATGTTGGGGGTGTACCACACCTAGTTGTACTCACCTAGTTAGGTTGCGGGCGGGGGTCGATCCGAGCTCCTGGCCCCGCCTCTTCAACACACACAAACCCCACTGAATCGTCTACTAGGTCCATCTCTCCCTGTATGTGTGTGTTGTGTGTGTGTGTGAATGTATGTGTGTGTGTATGTGTGTGTATGTTGTGTGAATGTGTGTGTGTGTGTGTATGGTGAGTGTGTATGTGTGGTGTGTATGTGTGTATGTGTATGTGTGTGTGTGGTGTGTGTGAGTGTGTGTTTGGGTGTGTGTGTGTAGCTCACCTAGTTAACTCACGCTAGTTTGAGGTTGCGGGGGTCGAGTCCGAGACTCCTGGCCCCGCCACTTCACTGATCGCTACTAGGTCCACTCTCCCTGAGCCCGTGAGCTTAACGTACTCTTGCTATAAAGCTAATGTTAGGATCCTGCCTCCCACTACATCGCTCCCAACTATTCCACTACTGACTACTCTGTGGTTTGAAAGAAATACTTCCTAACATCCCTGTGATTCATCTGTGTCCTTTAGCTTCCAACTTGTGTCCCCCTTGTTCCTGTGTCCAATCTCTGGAACATCCTGTTTTGTGTGTGTGTGTGTGTGTGTATGTGTGTGTATGTGTGTGTGTGTTTGTGTTGTGGTGTGTGTGTGTGGTGTGTGAGTGAGTGTGTGTGTGTGTGTGTGTGTGTATGTGTGTTTATGTGTGTGTAAGTGTGTGTGTGTGGTGGTGTGTGTGTGTGTATGTGTGTGTATGTGGGTGTGTATGTGTGTGTGTGTGAGTGTGTGTTGTGTGTGTGTGTGTGTGTGTGTGTGTGTTGTGTGTGTGTGTGTATGTTGTGTGTATGTGTGTGTTGTATGTGTGTGTGTGTGTGTATGTGTGTATGATGTGTGTGTGGTTTGTGTGTGTGTGTGTGTGTGTCCTGTGGTGTGAGTTGGTGTGTGTCGTGTGTGTGTGTGTGTGTGTGTGTGTGTGTATGTGTGTGTGTGGTGTGTAGTATGTGTGTGTGTATGTTGGGTGTGTGTATGTGTGTGTGTATGTGTGTGTGAGTGTATGTGGTGTGTAGTTGTGGGGTGTTTTGTGTGTGTGTTGTAGTGTGTGTGTGGTAATGTGGTGGTGTGTGTATGTGTTAGTGTTGTGTGTGTGTATTGTGTGTGTGTACACACACAACAGTATATACGTACAGCAACATATTTCCAGCCATATAACAATCCTAACCTTAAAATGTTTTGTATACTCTCAATGCAATCAGATTTTAGCATAACTGCCAGAAATAAGACCAGGCATATTTTTCAGGCCTCACCAATTTAGAATAAAACTGAATCGCAGTCAACACATGCCTGTTTTCATGTTGTAATGAGGAAACAATGTTTAATATACAAATTATTTATCACCACGAAGTCACAAGTCTAACAAACAGAAAGGGTAAAACACTAGACATTTCCTTGCATCAACAACAATGTGTAGTGTTTTCATATGCAAAGCATCATCAGAACTAAAATATGAGGTTACTGGACATAATGTTTATGTACAAATTATTTATCACCTCAGCAGTCAAAGGTTCTGAACACAACTATGTAAAGGGGGACTCAGCTTATATTTATATATTCTCTTGCTTCCCTCCATTTACATAATCAGGGTTAAAATGAGAGGACACTGGATACAGCATAATGTCAGTACAGTACCTACTGTACATATATTCTGCATTAATGTGGATATTTAAACTTGTATTTACTGATGATTAAACAGTTTCAATGGTGAGGCTTGGCTGCTGATGCTGTCAGTAATATTTACATTTGCTCCTCCTTACCTCCTTTTCCTGATTTCTATTATTGAAAATGTGAGGAAAATATTTCAGACTTTTTATCTAAATAAAATTATTGCCCAAACTAAATAGTACATACTTACAAAGCAGTGAGACTGACTCAGAACAGTTCAGGGCTGTTGTAATCCTTTAACCCAACAATAATAAAATGGCAATGGTGATTTCCTGAGTACTTTTTTTTTTTATTTTCAGAATTTTTCGGATTTTTTTTTTGGGTGGTTTGCACTCAAAAGATGAGGGGCAATATTCTAGGCATATTTATTTAGTAAAAAACCTCGCTTTATGGCTAGCAATATACGGCACATGTATACACATACACACACACACACATACATTCAGTACTGCATATGTATACACATATTTATATATACAGTACATACATGCTATTACCTAATGCTCTGAAAATTATGCTGCTACTTTACAGTATTATGTCAAATCCTTTAACTGACTTGATAAAAATAATAAAGGTTTCTAAATGTCTTAAAATAAAAATTAACAATGTTTAATGATATGATTACTAAACTAAGTTGGTCTGAGGTTTTCTGTCTCACCAACCGTGTTAAACTGGAGTGATGCCCAATACCAGAGCTAGTGGGCTACATCAGGGCAGAGCCTTAACTATAGAGGCTCTGGAGTGTGTCACAAGATGGAGTTCGAAGTTCTTGGGCTCTTTTAAACATCTGAGGATCGCCAAAAGATCGAGCTCTCCAAATCATATTTTCTTCTGAAAAATAACAAGAGAAGTTTGTTTAGTCATAAAATTAAGTGGATAAGGCAAACAAAGAAAAAAAACAAGGCAATGACAGTAACAAAACATTTTAGTAGGAAGAGAAAATTGCATTGGGATTCAAGGCAGCAAAGGATTCCTTCAGCCTGCTTTTTACAGTAATGCATCAGGAGATTTTTAAGTGTAAAACCATGATTATTTACCACTCCAAGACTCCTTGTGCTTCAAAAGGTGTAGATAAAATCACTTTTACTATTTCTTTGGAGGTCAAACCAGTCAGTATGGATGCCAGGAATTATTTATTGCCTGGCTTAAGGATCACTATTCCAGAAGCCATGTTTTACCTGCACAGAAAAAACCTTGCATTCAAGGTTCTCTTCACTCTTGATAATTTCTGCATTCACCCAGAAGCTCTGCTGGATGTGCATCTACATGTAAAAGTTTTTTTAACCATCAAATACATTTTTAATACAACCACTAGATCATGGAATTATTAGGCCACAAAAGTGCAATTGTAAGTGAAAAGTGATGTGGAAACTTGTTGCAGCAATTGATGCTGACTCCAACCTTGCAGTAGCAAACTTCTGGCATAAATTTAACATCCAAGATGTCACCAGTTACCTCAGAAGTGCATGGATTGAAGTGCCCAATAAACATTAAATGCAAGCTGGGGAAAGTTATGGCCTAGTGTGGTGAATACTTTTGCAGTTTTCCCTCAACTGAGAGACAGGTGCAGGAAATTGTTTAGCTGGCAAGAAGACTGCCAGGTGAGAGCCTTAAAAATATGCAGGAAGACAATGACAGAAGACAGAAGTCCAGAGGAAATGTTGGCAGAGCTCAATGCCCAGATACCATGAAGGCTGATAAGAGAGGAAGAACCTGAAGAAAAAAAGTTAACATTGTAGCAGTAATGTAAGCAGTTCCATGTTGCTTCTAAAGTAGCAGACTTTTTCTCTGAAGAGGACCCTGACATATCTAGAAGCACTGCTCTGAAATAGGATCTAGAGCAGGTGATGATGCCTTACCATCAGCTGTATAAAATACTGCAGGGTAAAAGAAACCAGAGATGCATTACAAAATTTCTCAATACTCCAGTACAACCATCAACACGAGTGCCAGAGCCTTAACCAACCACCTCAGCTAACATTCCACAACTATCCACCTCAGCTAACACTCCACAACCATCCACCTCAGCCAACAATCTGCAACTTTCCGGCTCAGCTAACGATCCACAACCTTCCACCTCAGCCCAGTAGGGCCACAGCATCCCCCTCCACTCCTTTCAAAATTGACATGCACCAGTAATTACAATTTAAGGTAAGAAATATTTATTTAACATTTATAGCCTTAAACAACGTATTAAACATAATACATCAAGACAGCCAAATACACCTGCATTATTTTTTTTTTAACAATTCTGATACCTTTACATTGGGCTCTGTTTTTGCTCATTTCCGTTATTACCAATTTTTTTCTGTAAAATTATCGGCTCTGTTTTCATTGCTTTCGTCTGTTCTCGTTTGTGGTATGGTACCTGTCTGAGTGCCACACGCACACAAAACCTCCCACACACGCATTCTGAGGCAGTGTCACTTTGTTTCTCGGTGAGTGAACATTATCCTGCAAGGCCATAAGAAACATTTTGTAATAATTCATTGCTTTTTGCACTTGTTTATTCTGTGTAACTGCTAAATAAGCCACCATGGGCTCAAAGAAAGCTGCTAGTGCCATCCCATTGATAAAGAAGTTGAGGAACACGATAGAATTCAAGAAAAAACTCGTAGCAAAGTACCAAAGTGGAGGAGGAAAAGAGAGGAGAGAATGTGCCTTCTTCAGTGATTCTATGATATGTATGATACTAAAGCAGCAGGAGTCGATAAAGGCTATGGCACCAGCCAGCGATAAAGTGTAGCATTAACAGTGTAGCAAATAAGTTAAGTGATTAAGCAATAGAAAAAGGACAGCACGAAACTCACTCCTCCATTGTTGTTTGAGGCATATAGGGCACTGACAAACATATGCTGCCCTGCCTATCTTCCACCACCCTAAACCAATGCCAGCATCTCCAAGGTACAGTGAGTGTAAATATTTCTTATTTATAAAGGATGTAAAATATTTCTTATTTATAAATCTCCAGGGTACATTAAGTGTAAATATTTTTTATTTATAAAGCATAAATATTTCTTATTTAAAAATTAAAGTGTTTGTGTGAATAGTGTTGGTGGCTTCTGCTGCCGCCTACCACTATTATGTACGCCTCCTCTCAGTGGCCCTTATAAACCCAACATCACCACCACCACTTACTCCTCACATACGTAATGACATATTTTATTCATTCTAGAGTATATATTATGTTTCTATGTTATTAATATTGTTTATTATGTCATATTAGATGAATTGTGATAGATAAATAAGCCATGGAGTACAATTCTTCTCTATAAAATGTATTTTTTGGTTATACTTTTAGATGTCTGAAACGGATTACGTAATTGGATTTACATTATGTATTTCTTATGGGGAAAATGATTTCAGTTCTAGTCGATTTCACATTTCGTTGGACTCTCTGGAATAAATTAAAGACGAAAAGAGAGGGTCCACTGTATAGCACTTTGTCTGGATTTTTGGGGTTATTCTAGGTGATTTACACTATGTATAATTGCATTTATGTGTACTTGTGAGATAGAAAAAGAGATAGACGGAGATATAGATAGATACAGACAGACGGAGATAGAGAGAGCCAATCAGCCAGCCTGCCAAACATGTATTACATGTTCCAGAATTGTTTCTTTTTACTTAGGGCATAGGTTATAGAACATTCTGGCAGGATGACACTACCAGTTGTACCAAAATTGAAAAGGTGCTGCACAATTGTTGCACAAGGGTTATTATTGAGGTTTTTGATATTTTCTCGACCACTTGTGGCTACATCCACCTCAAAGCCACTAAACTCAGGGTCAACATTACTTTCCTCTTAAAAGGGGAGTGTTAATATGACATGACATCAGTAAATCCCTGGTGTTTGCCACACTGTTGGTCTAGCTGGTGCTCAATTGAACTGGTGCTCCCACAATGTACTAAGTGGTCCTAGATTTTTTTTAATACTGCACACATTGAGTGTTAAGACCCATTCTATGCTGACCAGGCATCTCAGGCCAATCATGCCAATTTTAGAGGCAGGAAAAATAAAACGGAGATCTACGTTTGGAGCACTAGCAGTAAGAATGTAGATCTACGTTTGGACAGTTAAGGGGTTAAATGCTGCAGGAGGCTGGAGGCAGAAATGACGTCATGTCTGATAGTTATGTGTGGTGTAAATATGATGCAAAGAATTAGAAGCACGGAAATTCGAAAGGTTCTGAATTGTAGAGGTTTTAGTAGGTAGCAGGCATGTGTGAATGTGTTATATCAGAATAAGTGGAGAAATAAGGTTTTAAGTGTGATGTGCTGTTAGAGTGTAAGCACTGTAATATTTGTGAAGGGATACCGAGAGGGGTGGAGATGTTGCAATTCAAAGGGTCATCTGAATTGTGATGTCCTTACACTTCTGTCAATGCAGCTACTGTACAAAGTGTGGTGAACAAGTTTCCATTTTTGGGTCACCCTATCTTGGTAGGAGAGATGCTACTGTAGTAAAAAAACATTGTAGAAAAAATATTGTTATAATGACAAACTGCATATGAGTATGTATCAATACCGAGTCCCCTTTGACCACTGATTAACCAAATTCTGAAAAATTATGTATCAATATGCTAAAACAAAAAAAAATCAATACTATGGCTAGAATAATTTATAATTAACCCACAATTTAGAGCAGAACCTTTAAATATTTTGATGTTGTGAATCATCAAGTTACAGCTTGATGATGGTACAGGATGGACCACCAGTGTTGAAAACTTCCTCTTCCAACTGTGGGTTATTGTGAAGATGAAAATATATTTTAAATTTTATTAAGACAACATTTAAGCCCAGTCTTTTAAATTTCTTCATATAACTGTCCTGTCACATTGACAATTGATACTTACTATAATTCTTTTCCTTAAAACAAGCATTCCTAAGTGTTGATACATAATCTTCTTCTACATGTTGCTCTAATCGGCGAATACTTCCTTGATATTCTGTAGAAAAGTCTGGTTTCACATAGTACGACACTCCCAGGTTTGAGGTACTACGCTGTACACTGTATTTACTGAAAGACAAAAAATGATATTAGTACACAAATGGGCATAATAAATCAGTAAATGTTTTACTGAAAGTAATCCATAGATCAACACAAGTTCAAGTCTGCAGTGAAAGCTAATTGGTCCTATTTTTGGGAATAAATATTTAGAAATATAAGCCTTTGTCTCCTGTATTATGCAACTTGAGCAGCTGCTCTTCATCACTAGATTTCATAACTATAAAAATGGCAACCATTATGAAATATTGTATATTCATCAGTGCAAATATTTATTCAGGTCTTATGAATTACTATATTTGCAGAGAAGAGTTTAACTTAAGGGGTCATACAGTGCCTTAAGTCTGCATGAAGAACTCATTATGAGAGCTTGAGGATGTTAAGATAGTATACAGTATGGTGCTACATCTAGTATGTGATCCATCATGATGTACCATGTTCTAGTAGCCCTTACCATGAAGGGGATGCCTTGCTGCTGAAGGACTCTTGATCCAAGGAACTGGAGCTGTTGCCCTTTCCCAGGATCAAACCTGACTGTCCCGCTCCTTCCAGTTTCCCATGCACTATATGACCCTTATGGGTTTGGCACTTCCCCATAAATCTTACAGTATTTATATACATGTACGGCACGTAAACATAATTTGCTTGTAAACTGTACTGCTGTATGCATTACTACTACAACATACAGGATGCATCACTTGATCCTCCAGAATTCATGACTATGAAATGTAGCTTTCCTTATAACTTCCATACCTGTACAAATTCTTTTTCTTTCAACACACCGGCCGTATCCCACCAAGGCAGGGTGGCCCAAAAAGAAAAACAAAATTGTATTAACATATCGTATTTCCCTGTATTAATTTCTGGCTCATCTGAATTCCCATTAAATTTTGGATTTTCATGTTTTCTATATTAATTTCAAGTTTCTTTCTCATGACTTTCCATCTCGTTAAATCATTTCATATTAAACTATTTTTCAATTTTTTGAATAGTTTAAATAAAATTTTCACATGTTACACAGCTCTTCAGATAATTTGCATATATCTGTCTCTTTTAATATTTTGTCTAAAATTCTGTGCATATCAGGTTAAGTTTAGGATGTGTACATGTAGCGATGTGCAGTGTACATGTATACTCAAGTGCAGTGTGCATGTATAAAGAAAATTCTTATCATGACACATTTTTATTGCAAATATCTTTTTAAACACATGTGCCATTTCCTGTCAAGGTGAGGTGATTAAAACAAAACTACAACCACTCACTCTCTAGCAGTCTTTCAAAGAGTGCACAAACATGATCCATTAACCCACCAAACAGTAACATCTTCACCATATCTTTCAAAGTGCAGGTACAGTATTTCCCACCTCCAGGTACAGCATTTCTGATCTTCAGGTATAGTATTTCCCACCAGCTGACTAGTTTACCTAGATTACTTTTATCTACATTATCATGCTCAAGCATAAACAACACCTCAAATCCTAAAAATCAATTATTTCCACCCCAATCTAATATACTTAAAAATTAAGGATACATCTTGCAACAAATTCACAATCTGGAAAGCAAACCTCAGACAATCTTTTGGTAGAGGATGGAAGGAAAACTCTTCTAAAGCTTCCTACAAATCATGATTTATTTGTGAAATGCTCACATTCTTGCAGAGATTTAATAGTTCACAAGGAGCACCATTATTTAAATAACATACATATTTATTTTTAACATGCTAGCTGTCTCCCAGCAAGGCAGGGCGACTCATAAAAGATAGGAGTGAGTGGAGACGAATGCTTTTTGGGACTAGACGAGCTGTTGGAATGTGAGCAGGGTAATATTTTGTGAAGAGATTCAGAGAAACTGGTTAGCCAGACTTGAGTCCTGGAGGTGGAAAGTACAATGCCTGCATGCTGAAGGAGGGGTTCGGAATATTTGCTGTTTAGAGTGGCATCTAAACTGTTGTATCTGTGCACCTCTTGCAGGACAGTGATAGTGTGAATGATGATGAACGTGTTTCTTTTTCAGGTCACCCTGCCTCAGTGGGAGATGGCCAGTGTGTTGAAAATATATATAAATAATCAATAAATAAAAGGTATACTGAAACATTAAATGGAAATGAAACATCAGACATAAACAAAGTTTATTTACTTATGAGATAAAACTTTACAATAAAAAAGAAATTAAAAAATAGAAATATGCAAACCTAGCAGTAAAATAATGCATGCAACAGGAACAACACATTCTGTATTTATATCAAGAGCTAACAAAACAGCTAAGCAGTTTTCTATATCTACATCTATGGAATTACCTTGTGAACCTAAAGCCTCTCTCATTTGTATGCAATGAAATGAACAAAAGTTCCTAAAAATGAAATAAAAATGAAATATAAAATTGTACTGTCTTAAGCAATTGTAGAGACAGTCTCTTACAAGAAATTGTTGTAATTTGCATAGTTTTACAAAAGTAACTGTGCATCATGCAGGCTCAAGACTCCATCTCAGATGTACTCAAACAAATTTCAAGGTGAATATTCACAGAATTAACAGTGATGTAATGGCACAAAGTTTTTGAACTTGGTGATTGAATATAAGAAACTTACGTAGAACCCAGACAGTTTTCTTTCCACTTAGCATAAGCAGTTTCCTCTTTGTATTATGCATGACTTTATACAAACATTCTTGCATACTCTCTCACACACACACTTACATATTTGTTTTCACTCTGCCCATCTATTCTGCTTTATATCTTGTTCTGGCAAAAACACATCACCCTCATATGTATTACTCCCTATACAGATCACAAATCATTACAAACAGCCAGTCTTAACTTTAAAAAAAAATATAAATCCCATTTCATGTACAAATTACTAAGTATAAAAAGAAAAACTTCTGCCTTTTTCAGGTCATCCTACCTCAGTGGGAGATGGCTGGTGTGTTAAAAAAAAAAAGAAAGGTTGCATCTGAATAAATACCTGTCAATATTTTTCATGTTGTGAATGCCACACTGATGATAAAAATGTTTCTCATCAAGGTAGGGTGATCCAAAGAAAACACACTCACTGTCAAAATAATTTCCCTACTTGTCCTTCCAGAAGGTCAGACACAAATATCCAACAATGCCCAAAATGCAACATCCCCACTACACTTTGAAAACACAGGCAGTGACTGTGCTTCCCACCTCCAAGATTTAACTAAGCAATTTTCCTATTACCCTGCTGGTTATGCAAGACCACCTCTCAGTATGGCTTTCAAACCAGACTACCAAGCCTTCAATGAACATCCTCTACACCACTTCCATCCACCCTAGGTTCATATACCCTCTTAATCAACTGTGTCAAGCCTATGTATAGTCTACAGGTTGCAAGAGGCTATTATGATTTTAGGACATTGACCACTACTATCTTTTAATTTGTAATTATCTAAAATTGGCCATGGATTAACATGGTAGGTACGTTCCTGGAAATGGTGCGTTAGTCAAAAACTGCGTTAAGTGAACTGAAACACATAGGGAGAAAAATAGGGTTATGTTCCCATGACCTCCAAAAAAGTCAAAAAAATTTTTTTAAGGGTCTGTAATTCATGAAAAATAAGTTTACCATTCATACATTGTAGTGGTTGTTTCTTGATGATCTGGAAATATGTGGAGAGGGCTGATGTGGCTCTGTATAATACCTGAGCAAACATCTATGAGGAGCATCAGCTACCACTATCACAACCACCACTATGAAACTTTCAATTAAATAAATATGCCCAAAGTAATACCTCCTACCTCATGAGCAGAAAAAAAAAAAAACTGTATCTAAGGGTATCATTACATTGTTATTTTGTTGGATTTAAAAGTTGTGATGGACCAAGGGGGATCTGAGTCCATCTCACAGCTGTAAGACAGACTCAGAACTCTTTTTTTTTTTTTTTTTTTTTTTAACACGTCGGCCGGTTCCCATTGAGGCAGGGTGACCCAAAAAGAAAAACCCAAAAAGAATGAAAAAACTTTCATCATCATTCAACACTTTCACCATCATTCATGCATAATCACTGTCTTTGCAGAGGCGCTCAGACACGACAGCTTAGACATACCTCCAACCTGCCAATATCCCAAACCCCTCCTTTGAAGTGCAGGCATTGTGCTTCCCATTTCCAGGACTCAAGTCCGGCTAACCGGTTTCCCTCAATCCCTTCACAAAATATTACCCTGCTCACACTCCAACAGCTCATCAGGTCAGTAACAGTAAATATGATATGAACAAGCAGAAATACTTCAGAATTAAAAAAAAAAAAAACTACCATTTTATCTTAACACACTGGCTATCTCCCACCAAGGTAGGGCGACTCAAAAAAGAAACACTTTCACCATCATTCATACTATCACCGCCTTGCCAGAGGCACAAAGATACGACAGTCAGATGTCACTTCAAACAGCAAATATCCCAAACCCTTCCTTTAGAGTACAGGTACTGTACTTCTCACCTCCAGGGCTAACTGGTTTCTCTAAATCCCTTCACAAAAATGTTACCTTGCTCACACTCCAACAGCTCATCAGGTCCCAAAAACCATTTGCCTCCACTCACTCCTATCTAACAAGCTCACACATGCCTGCTGAATGTCCAAGCTCCTTGCACACAAAACCTCATCTATCCCAGCCCTCCATCCTTTCTTAGATTGACTTCTACCCAGGCTTCCCTCCACTACATGAATTATGGTACTTCAAGCTTTACACCAATAGAACAAGAATTATAACACTTGCCAACAACATTAAGCACTTCCCTAACATTCAATAAACACAAAGATAACTGTTTTTAGAAGCTCCATGTGGACTGTGCTATCTACTCACAAAATATTTATACATAAGAAGAAAGGCTATTAACCTGGTTGGTGAAAGTGAGTAGGTGGGATCAGATGACAGCAAGGATGATGCTAATGACAACAGGAGGATGAGGAGGAGTGGCATCAGTTGAAGGAAAACAGATAAATTGGACTGCTCGGCATGGGAGGCTTGGTGCTGGTTCCCTCGCTGAGAATTGTATCCTCGACCACCCATACCTCCAGCCCGCTCCCACCGACCTCCGCGGCGCACATAAACATTGTTGCCAGGGTACCCACCCCCAAAGAACATGTTGAAAAGTTCCTCGGCAGTCATGTCACCTGAAATGAACACAGAAAAATATAAGGCTGTAACTATACATTTACATATAAAAGAAATGTAATTTAAATAATATTAACACTACTAGTACCTTACCACAGTATTCTACTGACAAAGTGAACCAGATGACAGCAAGTCAATTGCAGTGACATTTACATAACTCAGTAGTGCAGCCAAGATTTCATTCTGGGGAAAGCTTAAAAAAGGTAAGATGCTGGAATAAATCAAAACAATCATCTTTAAAAAACATGGTTTTTAGGATGTATGAAAAATTTCTTTAACTCTCACTTTGTGGTCACTGTTCAATATAATACAGTGAAAATTAGGCACCAACTGAAAAAAAGTATTTGCCTCTTGGCAGGCAAGCATTTGCCATTTAGATCTTTACCCCAAGGCTGTGCCACAGAATACTTTTAATTTACACCTTAGGTAATGTATCTGGTGAGTACTTAAAAAATAATGTATGTAAAATAAATAAATATATAAATCTCTCTCTCTTTCACTTACACACACACACACACACACACATTCAAACCAGTCTCCAGCCAAACACCAGTCTTATTACAGATAGGCTAGACATGGAAGAACATCAGAGCCTCAGCACAAACACTGCTTAAAGGATACTAGACAGTGGTAGAACAATGGAATGGGATGCACAAGGAAATATTAAGTGCTACAACCACTAGAAATGTTGAAAAATTATATGATAGACTAAACATTGATGACTTTACAGTACAAGCATAGCCAAACACCTGTATCTTCAAACAGGCAAAATCAACGAGATAATATTCCTAAAGCATCCTAGATAGGCAATTTTAAAAATACAAAATATACTCTTGAGCATCTTAAAAAAAAAAAAAATCATATTTTTAGACTAGGTCTTCCATAGAAATTTTTAATACTTTGACTGTTTCCTATCATGGCAGGGTGATCTAAAGTATTATTAGTATAATAAAAGGGAAGAGAAAAACATATAGGGGGTCATACAGTGCCTGGGGAATGGGGGGAAATCTGGTTTGATTTGAGAAAGAGGGTATCTCCACTTTCATAGATCAAGAGACTTTTGCTGGTATCAAGGGTTCCCTCCCCCCCCACCTCTCTTGAGAGGAGGGAGATACAAAGGGAACCACATATCACCACTCGTTCCATAATTGTCTTTCCAAAAGTGCACGAACTATCACAATTCAAATAATCTTCCAAACTGAAATGGCCCCCACATAACTTTTAGATAGTGGGCACTGTACTTCCCATTGCCAGAGTTCAAGTCTGACTGACAGGTTACCCTGAATCCTTTCCCAGATACTACCTTACTAACAACTCCTGAGTTGTAGCCCTGTCTGGGTACAGGACAACCATGGTTTAAACACCTATGCTCACCTGTGCAACTGGAGGAGAGCAGAAGTTCAATGCTTCCTACATATATTGTTAGTGAATATTATTTTCCATAAAATGCAGAGTGCATAAGACATACACTAAATATTTTTTTCAATTGAAATTATCACAAAGATTATATTCACTCATGTGACTATTGTGCCTTTGTACAATATATAATTGATTTTTCAATTATGTTGATATTGCATAGTCATTCCTTTCATCCATTTAGAGTATAATGACAATGCAGTATTGGAAAAATTCTAAAAAATAGTAGTACAGTACATAATAAAATTTGAGAAAATAAAAAATTACCATCTCCTTGACATTCATTCATTGTGATATAAATAACAGCAACAACAGTGGACAATAATAAGCTAAGTCCACAGATAACTGCAAGGCTTCAGATTAGTCTTGCTAATAACAAAGATTAATTGCACAATTACTGATTAATGAGTAACAGCAACTACCAAATCTAACATGGCCCATCAAAACATGTATGCAAGATTGGCAAGTTTACTGCCACGGTGACGAGATGAACACAGTGACAGACTCGGAGAGAACGGCCACGACGGGGCTGCTGACCTGCGCCTGAATGGATCACCGATATGCTTCATGGGCCAGAAGGGGTCAAACATATCCTTCTGCAAGAGGGCGACCATTATGCAGAGCCAGAAAGCCAGCAACAGCAACAGCACCAATAGCACCAGCATTTGCATGTAGTGTATAACCATGCCCATGAACGTCTGCAGCATAGCTTGCTGCGTTGTCTTGGGAGAGCCTGCAATGAAAACAGCACATCGCAGCAGCCTCGTACCAAGCTACAGGCCTTGCGTCATTCGCTAACACTTACCCATAATCTCTAAGGAACAAAATATGACCTGGAAATTAACACTCAAAGCAATATTAACAAGAGCAAGCATTACAAAAATGCTGTAAGGAATAAATAATTCACAATATTAATACAGTACAGCACACCCAAGTTTTGATCCTCATGAGGAATACATAGTCTCCAGAAAAATGGCAAGAAGAGCGATTTCATGATGACCGTGATCAGTATAAAGTGGAAGAACGGAATAATGAAATGTCTGACCCACATGAGAATTTTTTAAATCCACAGTGTGCCTTATTAAACCCACAACTCCTCACCTCTTACCCCCAACATGTCTTCAAACCAAATTTATTCACAATCAAAAGTAATCTAAAAACTTAAATAGGAACCTCCACTTGTGAGCACATCCACGTGTGAGTTTTTCCAAATACGAGCAGTCGCTCGGTTGATTTTTTGCTTCCATACGCGAGCAAAATTTCCATAAGCGAGCGGGCCTCAAGGGAGGTTCCTTGATGTTGGTGAGGGGCTCTTCCTCTTGATCTAGGGAATTGGATCTCATTTGTTTGTTGGACTATCTTATTAAAATTTTGGCAATGTACGATGGAAAGATGCTTCTTAACGTACACCAAAAATGAAAGAAATCGGAGCATAAATAATGGAGTTCACTTCCCAGCCATTAGCCGCCCCTTAGCAGTATACATATTTTCGTATGGTTTCTATAGTTGTATTCGCATTTTTCTTGTCTCAATTGATAGAATGGAAGATATACTTCAGAAATAGATATGATTTTGATTGGTTTCATGACGAAAAATACTTTGAAATTGAGCTCAAAGTAGCAGAAATGTTTGATTTTTGCCGATGTTCAAGAGTAAACAAATGACGTCGTTGTTCAATGAGTGTCCAACTGGCCAGTCTAATGGGTTGACATTATTTATACAATTATTACAATAATGCAGTAGTCTGCATAACAGTAAATCTTCTATTATTATAATCTTCTAGTGTATATATCATGTTTCTATGTTATTAATATTGTTTATTATGTCATATTAGATGAATTGCGATAGATAAATAAGCCGTATAGATGATATTAGCGAAATACTGAAGCATCTTGTCGTGCCTCCTGAGAGCAGGGAATGGATTAATTGCATTTCAATTAATTTAAACGAGGAAAATTGACTCTGCAAATGAGAAAATCCAGATGCGAGCAAGGTCACGAAACAGATTAAACTCACAAGTAGAGGTTCCACTGTATGTGGAAAATTGTAAAATGGAAACCACTATATATAAGGTATGGGAAAGCATTGCTGCTTGGAAGGAAGAGGGCAGATATTGCCATTGTAATTTACACATGACTATTTATATGTTCAATACTGTGAGTGCTATTTCAGAGAGTAACGATAAGTGGAAGGAAGGAAGGAGGGAGGGAGGGAGGGAGGAAGGAAGGATAACTGCACCTTGATACAAATTTCATATTTTATCCTCTCATTTTTGATAGTTTATTTAAAATATGTTAATGTTAAGTCTATTTTATAATTTTAATTACCAAAATATATAGATGGGGTTGTAAAGGAAGTAAATGCTAGGGTGTTCGGGAGAGGGGTGGGATTAAATTTTGGGGAATCAAATTCAAAATGGGAATTGACACAGTTACTTTTTGCTGATGATACTGTGCTTATGGGAGATTCTAAAGAAAAATTGCAAAGGTATAGTGGATGAGTTTGGGAATGTGTGTAAAGGTAGAAAGTTGAAAGTGAACATAGAAAAGAGTAAGGTGATGAGGGTGTCAAATGATTTAGATAAAGAAAATTGAATATCAAAAATTGGGGGGGAGGGGTATGGAAGAAGTGAAGTTTTCAGTACTTGGGAGTTGACGTGTCGGGGATGGATTTTGAAGGATGAGGTTAAACATAGAATTGATGAGGAAAAAAAAGGGGAGTGGTGCGTTGAGGTATATGTGGAGTCAAAAACGTTATCTATGGAGGCAAAGAAGGGGGAATGATGAAAGTATAGTTGTACCAACACTCTTATATGGGTGTGAAGCTGGGTGGTAAATTGCAGCAGCGAGGGAGACGGTTGGAAAGGCAAGTGGGAAAGTGGCAATGTGTGGTGTAAATATTATGCAGAAAATTCGGAGTGTGGAAATTTGGAAAAGTGTGGGGGTTTAATAAAAGTATTAGTCAGAGGGGCAGAAGAGGGGGTTGTTAGGTGGTTTGGGTCATTAAGAGAGAATGGATCAAAGTAGAATGACATGGAAAAACATATAAATCTATAGGGGAAGGAAGGCGGGGGAGGGGTGTCCTCGAAAGGGTTGGAGAGAGGGGGTAAAGGGGTTTTGTGGGCAAGGGGCTTAGACTTCCAGCAAGTGTGCGTGAGCGTGTTAGATAGGAGTGAATGGAGACGAATGGTACTTGGGACCTGACGATCTGTTGGAGTGTGGCAGGGTAATATTAGTGAAGGGATTCAGGGAAACCGGTTATTTTCTATAGTCGGACTTTAGTCCTGGAAATGGGAAGTACAATGCCTGCACTTTAAAGGAGGGGTTTGGGATATTGGCAGTTTGGAGGGATATGTTGTGTATCTTTATATGTGTATGCTTCTAGACTGTTGTATTCTGAGCACCTCTGCAAAAACAGTGATAATGTGCGAGTGTGGTGAAAGTGTTGAATGATGATGAAAGTATTTTCTTTTTGGGGATTTTCTTTCTTTTTTGGGTCACCCTGCCTCGGTGGGAGACGGCCGACTTGTTGAAAAAAAAAAAAATATATAGTGTAGACATATGAATGGAGTGAGAAGATGTAGGAAGATTTAAATAAAAAATTACAATTACAGCCTGTACACATACACATGTACGCATGCACACACATGCTGCATACAAGTATGCACGCAAGCACACACATGCTCACTTTTTTTTGACACAGTGGCTGTCTCCCACCAAGTTAGGGTGACCTGAAAAAGAAACTTTCACCATCATTCACTCTATCACTGTCTTGCAAGAAGTGTGCTGATAATACAGGTCAGATGTCCCTCCAAACAACAAATATCCCCATCCCTCCTTCTGAGTGCAGGCACTGTACTTCCCACCTCCAGGACTCAAGTCTGGCTAACCAGTTTACCCTGTATCCCTTCACAAAATGTTACCTTACTCACACTCCAACAGCTTGACAAGTCCCAAAAATCATTTGCCTCCACTCACTCCTATCTAACACACTCACATATATACTCATGATGTTTGTGTAGATATATGAATGGAGGACCATAAAATGAAGTGGATAAAAAATGGATAAAATGAAGTGTGTAATTGAGAAAAATAGTATAGAAAGATAAGAAAGTGCTCTAAATTCATGAGGTGTGCAAAGTCGAATTAGCAGAGACAAACACACACAAAGAAAGTTGAGAAACACAGAAATTTCTCACTTACTCAAACTAATGCCTGTTATCAGTGTTCAAATTACAAAAAAACTGCAAATAATAAACAAAAATTCTCATCTGAATTATCTCTAAGGAGTGTTTTAAATTTAAATTAGGAATCTTTACTCAAAAAATGTCAAATTTCAGAGAATAATTCAAAGTACAAATTTCAGGAAACATTTTTAGACTTTATAAAACTCCACTTTACAGATGTAGGTATTGTATAATTAAAACTAAAAACTTTTGAATTCATTTGAAAATGCCAAACTAAATCTGAGTGTGTTGGAGAGTATGCTCATATTTTAAAAACTCAAAATTAAAGAGACTTTCCAAATAAAAGTTAAGTTTTTTTTTTTGCACTGAACTGTGCTGTACTTGAAAAATTCAAAATTTTATATGTATAGTATATTGCAAATTGGGAAGAATTCAGAAGAGGGGAGATATTACTCTAATAATGTACCATATAAAGAAATATGTAAAGGTACTTTATAAACACAAAAAAACTGAACTAATAATCTATATTAGAAAATACAAGTTGTAACTGAAATACTACATATATGGAAAGTGTATAATAAACAACGTGGTATATGCATGCACCAGTCTCCACTCCCATGCCACCATAAAACAAAACAAGATTACTGTACATGCATGTACTCATAGTGATACAGGTAACCAGGGTTTCAGGATGAAACTGCATCACTCATGTTTCTGACCCAGGCATGAAACAAATAGGGAGACAGTGACCAGGAAGAATGAAAAATTAAAACAGACAGAAGCAAATCCATAATGCCAGGTATGCTTACAAAAAATAGACATCAAAAGATCGGAACAAGAAAAAACTGAGATAAGAAATGCGCATGAGGCATTCCTTAGTCAAAAAGAAGTGTATCCCCCTAAAATCCGATTAACTAGTTTCCTTGAATCCCTTCATAATATTGCCTTTCTCACACACTAACAACAGTGTTGAGGGGAAACATTCTCAGGAAAAAGAGTATGGTAGCAGAGAAACTGATCGTGCCACAACAATAAGCTGGTGAATGAAGTGACATTAGAGTGTGGAGAGTGAGTAGAGTGATGAGGATAAGGTTCAAAGAGGAGGCAGAATGAAACTAAAATTAATTGAAACTGAAATGTTTTATTCCATGAAGTTGCATTGGTTTCTAGCACCTACCAGTACCTACATGGTTTTTGCTCTCACCATGTTTTGTATGCCTTGATTATTTATCTCTACATACATGGTTGCATAACTTTTGGCAAGTACTATCTTATCACAGATACTATTTCTGGTTCAGAACCTAGATTAGTGCCATGCTACCTATTCTTCCATTACAATGGCATATTGTAACCCACTATCACCCTGTCGCTCTCTTAATATCTTTGGTCTTTAAGCCTTTAAGTGTGTAAAAATAAAGTAGATAACAAGTGTTATCCTCCATAGGAAGTGGAACAGAACTGTTCCTCCGTAAGCCGTGCATGTCGTAAGAGGCGACTAAAATGCCGGGAGCAAGGGGCTAGTAACCCCTTCTCTTGTATACATTACTAAATTTACAGACAAACTTTCATTTTTCTTTTTAGGTCACCCTGCCTCAGTGGGATACAGCCGGTTAAAAACAAAAAGAAGTGCGATTTTTGTTTCTTCTGGCTCACCGTTATTAAGTGGTAACTTTGCTGTAACCTGGTCCATAAAAACAAACATTTAATTTGTGGATAACTAACAGTTCTTAAAGAGTAAGCAATACGTACTGACATTCAGCAACAATAATCTGACATCCTTATTGCTCACGGTGCATGACAAACTATACTAGAACACACAGCACAGAACACATTTTTATGGCTTGATATCTTTACTACCACAAACTTTTTCTTCTACTTTAAAGATAAATACAAGAAATTTACTTGCATTTAGCTGAAGTGTGGGCTGCAGGTGAGAGCCAGGTGTGACTAGTTACCTGAGGCTACTGATGACCTTCCTGGTATGTATGACTGGTAAAATCAAACATCATACACATACAATCATTATTACAGAAAACTTAAAAATGATACTTAGTACTCACTCTCATATCCTCGAGTAAAGTCATGGTGGCTATAGGAGTTTCTGTGTTGACTAGGAGAGTTGGATTCTTCAGGACCATAAAGATCATACTGCTTCTTCTTCTCTGGATCACTGAGCACAGCAAAGGCATTACCTACAGCTGTGGGCAAGATAACATGTGACTATTCTCCAAATAAAACATCATAACTAATAAAACACTCGTATACTAATGAACAATGATCAGTGTTTTATTACTGCTATCTCTGATCACATAGTAGTAAATAGGTATAGTAATCCCCCAGAGTATGACAGCTTGCTAAAATATTTCCTTCGGCACCACAGAACACATACAATAATTTTGCTTGACAGCAAATAGTCCATGTGTTCTCTGGATAAATACACCTACTTAATACCCAGGTTTGTGGTAGAGTGGTACTGGTAGTGGGGTAGATTAGTTAGAATTCTTACATGGTAATTGCTGTTCAGTGGGACATTGCAACGAGATGTACTGAGGGCATTCAATGCCCTCAGTACATCTCATTTCCCTAGATAGCCTGAGTTCTAAAAGATGATTAAGTGGTAAAGAAAGCATAACTAGAAACACCTAAATGGCCATTTCAGTGAAGACTGACTATGATAATAAACCAGGCATTGCCAACAAATATCTTGGATTACTGTACCTTATTTGACAGTGAATACCATTTGTAAGAAATGCAATAAGTTTACAGTGCTGCCATTCAAATTCTATCTCTGCTGCTAGAGTACTTCACTCAGTAGTGACTTCTTGAAGGACATGCCTCTTGGCTCAATGGTCAATCAGGTCAACAAAGTTTTACTGTCAGAGTATAAACTGAACTAGGTTCATAAGACACTTCAAGAGGTCATAATTAAGACAAGAGGTTCCAGTTTTTGGCAATGAGCATTCAAAAGTTATGTCTAACCTGTGCCATGGAGTTACTGAAATTATGACTTCAAACTTATGATGTGAATGGTCAGTTCAGATTTCTGAATGCATACCTGAAGTCCTGACATAACATATCAAGCTAATTATCTGCATAATCAATATATTAGCTCTAGGAAAAAAGTAGTTTCCAAATGTCAATCCACAGGGAATATAAAAAAAAAATAACTAAAAAGCATATGACCAAATGAAACAACTGATTATTCAAGGATATGACCACTACATACAGTATTTTAAAAAAAATATGACATCAAATCATAGCAAATCTTCCTCCATTCTCAACAGGTGAAGACATATTAAGGGATATTATAGCACATGGGATTTAATATTTATTGCATGCAGAATGAAAAATTCCACTACAGAAAATGTTTAAAACCACATAGAGTTAAACTATGCTCAATACACAGAACTAAGAGCAAGGAATAAAATAATGAAATAAAATAACCGCTTAATTGTATTCTACTCTCAACAGCAATCATAAAAATTTTCTAATGAAGGGAGAGAACAGTGTCTGCATCCATGGTCAAAGCCCTTAACATTTTACTAGCAGATGCAAGACATTCTGTTGGAATACCAATGTCTCCTAACTGTGACAATCAGACACACTGTAAATGACTATGTATGCTTGTGGGCTGCTAGTAGGAACAATAAGGAGCCAGGCCTCAGACTGGGTTTTGAGAGTAACTCTCAAATCTGGCCAAAGATGCATCACATTTTTATTTGGTGTAAATAACTGAAGGTCCCTACATACCTTAGGTGCTCAATGGAGATAAAATGGGGTTGTTTTCTTGCACAATGTATATTACATTAGATTTATAATTCATTTTTGAGCGAAAAAAAATCCACATCATAGAACATCATTCTTTGCAGATTTGGTCTTCACAGTACCTCCACCAACATAATCCCTGAACCTGCCTGGCGCCAGACTTTTCTGTTGCTTTCCTGGTCATTAACACAGTTATGCAACTTTTATTTTCCCATTACAGTACAGTATTATTATTATTGGTGTCTCAAGTTTGGGATACCACTTTTGGTAGTCAGCTGTTACAATATTGGTTAAGAAGGAAGCTGAAATTAAATGTAATACAAAGCAAAATGCTGAGAAGTATGAGGAATGAAAGATTGGTCTGACTGGAAAAAAGTAAATGTACTCGTATACTGGGAGTGTCTGTATCAGATAGGTTTATAAACAATGAGCTAAATTACAGAATAGACGAGATAAAGAAAACTGAGCAAGTGTTAACTTTCAAATGATTGTGATGCATTCATTAACCATATATCTAGCTAATAATGAATTTCTACAACTATACTATTACAATACTTTTGCTTGAAAGCAAACAAAACAAAAAATAAATTTACCTTTAAAAGCTTCACCAGCCCCCGGCGCCTTATTTTTGTCTGGGTGGAACTGAAGCGCCAATTTACGATAAGCTTTCTTAAGGTCACTGTCAGTAGCATCCTTTGTAATACCCAATATCTCATAGTAATCTTTACACCTCATGATTCTGAAATGGTAAAGATGACATGAGAAAAGCTTTAATGATTTTTTAAATAAACCTTTTAGGGGTGCAATGCTATGAGGTTAGAATAAGGCAAGACCATGCTTATTTGAAGTATGTTATAGACACTAGTAACCCATACATGGAGCACACACACTGGTATGTCTGTTCTTTCAGCACATACATACAAAAAACTTGTACTACATAAAATTTAAGAAATTTCTTTCAATAGCAGGATAAATACTGCAGTTCAATGGTAATCCAATGAAACTCATCCTCATCCAACTTTCAGAGCACACATACTGTACTTCCCAACCTTCAAAATTCAAATCATCTAGCAACTAATCTGCAAGTGTAAAGTATATTTACAGATAATACTTTGACCACACTCCAACAATACACTAAATCCTGAAGGCAACTTGATGCAACGCACTCGGAATAAAACATTCACACATGACTGCAGGATTTTTAACCCTTTCAGGGTTTTCTATGTACTAGTACGGCTTACGCACCAGGGTTATTGACGTACTAGAATGCCTAAATTGTAGCGCCTTCAAATCTAGCGAGAGAAAGCTGGTAGGCCTACATATGAAAGAATGGATCTATGTGGTCAGTGTGAGCAGTATAAAAAAAATCAAGGAGCTTTGTCAAGCTTGACAAGACTCCTGGAAAGCGAAACGTTGCCACAATAAAATGTCACATTACTTGCACTTGTGTCCTTTTACTATACATATTGTCGGTAATTCTACCAACATATATATTCTCCTATTAGTAAAATTTTCTTCATTTATGAATACATTGCTATGATTTTTATACCCATTATTCAGGAATCATGGTTTTACAATCCCACAAAGGGAATTTATAACAGCCTTTACCGTATATATTTATTTTAAAATACAAAAAAAATACAAAAAACAAAAAATAAACATACAAAATTAAGAATTTTGGGGGCAACAATACAACGTTTTTCAATTCTTTCAATACAATTCATCTTTAGCTTTACTTGTTCAGGTCACGTCAACTATGACATCCTAAACATTAACAATTTGGCATAAATTTTACCAAGGTCTTGCCGTATCAAAAATAATATTTTTATTTTTCTCTTCATATTTTTGGGAAAACTTCATGAAACTTGTAATATACACTTCATTCCACCTTAACATACAATAAAAGTCATTGAAATCGGACCACTATTAAAATTTTCGTAATTGGCTTCTTCTCCCCCTCTTAATATTTTCAGGCCACAGTGAACAGTGGATAACAAACTGCAGATACACTGTATTCACATATGGTTAAAAATATATAAAGGGAGATGACAAGAAAACAGAAAATAAATCAATTACCAATACACAAATCTAGTGAGTAAAGAATAATAGTGTGTTTAATATTGATAATGTTTGTTGATTAACTGTTAAACTGTTCTCTATATCTCTGTTTTTACTAAATGTATGAGTGCTGAAAAACACTAAGACATTACAGTATTTGCCTTTTAAAATTATTAAAGTTGTATACAGGTCCACATCCCTTCATCCAAAATTCTCAAATTCGGAAAGTTCAAAAAACCGAAGTTTTCTGTGGAGTGTGGAGCGTCAGTCGTCTCCATGCTGGGTCACGCCGCCACATGGCAGTGTTGAGAATCATTCTTAAATTTGGCAAAGTCTGAAATTCGAAACAATACAGGCCCCAAGGGTTTCGGATAAAGGGATGTGCACCTGTATCAAGTTTTTATACACTTTTTTTTTTTGGCCATTACTTAATGATTGAAAAAAGTATCTAAATTTAGAATAAACCATGTGGATTGTGCATTTTTAATGAATGTTGTTGCAATAATAATTCTCCATGGAGGAAGTGGAGAAAATCTTTCCTCCATAAGCCATGCTTATTGTTCGAAGCTACTAAAATGCTGGGAGCAAGGGGCTAGTATCCCCCTTCTCCTATATAAAATACTAAATGTAAGAAGAAAATTTTTACATTTCTTCTTTTTTGGGTCACCCTTCGTTGGTGGGAGATGAGCACTGTGTTAAAAAAATATTATTATTATTATTATAAAGCACTAGCTTGACTTACCTCTTGACTGCATCCACCTGCTCTTTGGTGAATTCTCCAGAAACACTAGAAGACTGTGATGAATTTGAGGTACTCGTTCTCTCTTCAGCTGTTCCAGTGCGTCGTTGTCGCACATTCTCGCCACCTCCCATACCTCCACCTTTACTGCCACCACCACCATCTCCTTCGCCTCCGGCTGTCCCATTACTATGCGGGCTGTGTCCAGCTGTACCACTTAATCGATTCAGCAATTCCAAAAATTCTGTAAGATAAAGAAATCCAATGTTTTATAAATTTCAACCAACAATAACTGACAAATTATTTAAAATAATACTTACCATTGTGCCAAACCACAAACGTCACAGAATTAACTAAAATAATGCTACATTCTAGGTAGTAGGTTGGTAGACAGCAACCACTCAGGGAGGTACTACCGTCCTGCCAAGGGAGTGTAAAACGAAAGCCTGTAATTGTTTTACATGATGGTGGGATTGCTGGTGTCCTTTTTTCTGTCTCATAGACATGCAAGATTTCAGGTACATCTTGCTACTTCTACTTACACTTTGGTCACACTACACATACATGTACAAGCATATACACCTACCATCCGGCTTACGACTGAGTTCAGTTCCGAGAAACCGGTCGTAAGTTGAAATGGACATAAGTCGAACTTTGCTACTGAATATCAACATCACATTTTTGTAATGACTTTATTTTATTGTTTTATTCTGGTATTTCATGTCTTACTTTACTTTTTATGCTGTTAGAACTGTATTTTATACTGTAATGTTTAGGATAAACACTGTGTACAACACAAATAGTTGTTTATTTCCCAGAAATTTGGCATAAAAAACACGGTCGTTAAGTCGGGTGGTCGTAAGTCGAGCAGGTCATATGTCGGATGGCAGATGTATATACACACCCCTCTGGGTTTTCTTCTATTTTCTATCTAGTTCTTGTTATTACCTCTTATCTCCATGGGGAAGTGGAACAGAATTCTTCCTCCATAAGCCATGCGTGTTGTAAGAGGTGACTAAAATGCCGGGAGCAAGGGGGCTAGTAACCCCTTCTCCTGTATAAATTACTAAATTTAAAAAGAGAAACTTTCGTTTTTTTTTTTGGGGGGGGGGGGGGAGGCACCCTGCCTTGGTGAGATACAGCTGGTTGAAAAAAAAAAAGTTACATTATAATCATTCTCTTATTTCCTACTTTTATGTGTGGGAAGATGCTTGTTTGATAAGGTTCAAGAACTACTGTACAATACAGTAGCTAAAAAAAAGCACATTAAGCAGATTACTATACATATATATCTCCCCATTTTTCCAGATGGCCATGTGAACTACTGGCATATGCATGTTCTCTGAGGCAATGTTCCAGACTTCTTTCCTTATCTTGCACATATTTTATTACATTCATCACATGGAATGACACAAACCCCTGTATTGGTATCTATGAGTAAGGTGGTCTTAAACAAGTCTTTGGCAATGGTAAAAGAGATAGTGCATGCACTTATCTTGCAACTTGCTATGGCACACAACATATTACTATGACCACATATGAGTAGGACAATGTATCTCTTAGTGAGACTGTCTGAAATTGTCTAATTCATGATGGGTTGTGTTCTTCAAGGAAGGCCACGCTCAAGATCCTATAACAGGGCTACTCAAATGGCGGCCTGCGGTCCAAATCCGGACCTTCTGAGTGTTGTAGTTGGACTGCGGGCTTCAGGAGAAAGCTTAGTTAAATAGCAGCTGTTACCACGTTCAGGATCAGGTGGTACACAAGACCAGGATTAATATTGTATTCTATCTGAATGGAATGCATACACTGAATGGAATACAGCATTCTAGCATAGCTAAATAGTGATATTTTCTTCCATTCAATGGTAATTCATATTGGTAATTATCACTTGTGCAATGAAATAGACTTATTTGGCATTTTGGAAAGAGAGTTTGGCTACACATGCTGGGAAGTCTGGTGACCCTGGTGCAGCTTTGAATTTTGGGAAAAGCTGTGCATTTGCATTTGTGTTTGTGCAAGGTATGATTTTGGGTTTTTTTATTTTCTTTTTACCAAGTTTGATTGTAATTTGCTGTGCCCACCTCTTTTATGAATAAGTATATTGGTGGGGCATTTAGTGTTGAATCGTGTTGTGATCAAATTCTTCACATCAATGTTTAATCAAACTGGTTATAAATTTTCCTCATTCCTTTTCCACATTCACTATTTATCTTCATATTTTGAAATTTTTTATAAGACGAGGACTGAAAATGAAGTCCATAGAATATGATGAGTACACTGCCCTGATTGCGTGTAAAAAATATATCTGGACCTTTGCATACATTGGTACTTGTCCAAGTGGACCTTTGCTCATAGTAGCTGAGTAGCCCTGTCCTATAAGCTCTCAAGAATAACCCTTTTTGATCCTAATTTTTTGATGGTAGTAGTAATGCAAATCATGTGTTACTTGGTTTGTGATAAACCTTGTAAACAACAGTGTCTTCAGATTTGCACAACAGATATTGTCAGTTTAGAGTAAACTTCAGGCACAGGTACACACAAATACAATTACATGTATATAAATTATCATACATACCAGCATATGTGTAGATTACCTAGGATAACCCCCAAAAAAGTCAAAAGTGACTTATTTCCATTGAGGTCCTTGAAGTAACTTATTATTTAAACCTTAAAAGTTAAAACAGGTAAGTAACTTAACTATGTGGAAAGAAGTTACAGTAAATATGGAATAAGGTAAACCGAGTTATATACATTAACATTAAAGTGAAGATCAGATCACAGTAATAGGTACATGTATGTTAGCTATACAAGAAATCACTCTCCTCCCTTTCTGTAGCTACATTCATTAGGTAGCTTTTGTCTCTCTTCTCGAACTGGCTCATGCTATAACAGGCTCTGACATGTGCAGGCAGTCTGTTCTGCTCCTTTATTGTTGTACAACTTTGTAGTACCCACTGTGGGTACTACAAAGTTGTGTTCCGTTCCCCCTAGTACTATACTTGCTTTGGTTCCCAGCCATGACAAACTTGGCAGCAAGATATTCTGGACACTGTTTGTGAACAAATTTACAAATGTGATTTAAATTTATATTTTACTCTGTCTTCAACATTCAGCATATCCAGTTGTTGTAATTCATCCTGGCCTACATGTTCTCTTGGACCCAGGTCCAGGATGAATCTCACCATTTTGTTCTGGGTGATTTGTAGCCTATTTTTGTTTTTTGTTAAAGCAGAGTACCAAGAAGAGCAAAAGTAATCCACATGGCATTGAATAAGAGGCAGATGTAGGGTCCTGCAATACTCAGTTGTTAGACATTGTTCCTGTCTTAGAGTAGATTCATTGTTAAACTTTCTAGGATAAATGACAGACATATACAGGTGTTTTATTTATATTATTGGTATATATAAACCAGGTTCATGTAACCATGGTGTTAATTCTAAGGTGCACATTCAAATCTGCAAAGAGAGAACATGAGAAAATTGAGTTAAGCATAATTAAGTAGCTTCTTCCAGCAGACCAGATGTTCTGTTTATGCAGCCTCAAAATTACTTTTACACCATCTTGAAAATAGTTAGTGATAATTTTAGACAAGTGTTATGATATACAGTGAGCCGCCAGGGTGAAAACTCTGTTCTGGGAAAAAATTATCAAAAGGTTACACCAACCATATCTAAATTAGATTACAAAGATTTTTCCTTATTAAAAGGCATTAAGTCTGTGGGACATTAAACATTTTTTTTGCTTGCGAGGTAGTCAAGGTCTGCAATCTTAAACTGATAAATGTCACCAATGGAAATTTCAAGGACCACAATGGAAATATCAAAGACCACAATGAAAATATCAAGTACCACAATGGAAATTAGTCACTTTGACTTTTTTGGGTTATCCTAGGTAATTCACACATATGTTAAACTGTATATGATAATTGTACTTATGTGTACCTGTAGCTAAATAAACTTACAATACACAAATAACTGAGCCGCAGGTGTAAGGGTAAAGGAAGCCATAATTGCGAGTGAGACTCACCTTGATACCTCTGTGATGGGTACAGTCGCTCTGCCTTCTGCGTGAACCTAATAGCTTTCTCTCTGTTGCCCTCCTGGAAGTATTTCTGCGCTAAATTGAAGCATTTTTCAGCTTCATCTTTATTTCCGTCATGTACCATGGTGTATTTTCAGTTGTAAACACGCAGGATGAAAGGCCACCTGTGATTAGAAGGAATGAGCCAATCAGTGAAGTCTACGAGTAACTTGACCAACCAGAGAGTGAGTTACAAGCTGGCTGGGCAGGTGGTGTCAGTGCTGCCACCTGCTGCCAACTTTAACAACCATCTTACAAATCAGCTGATGAGACGATGCCAAGTCTATCCTACAGCGGCTCTTGTAACCTCCACCTCTCTTTTAAATAACATTATTTGTCTTCTCTATATCATGTCTTGAAGAGTATTTACACAACATATATGAGGATAAATGTTAATCAAGTGGTCCTGGAGGTGACCTCACAACAATGACTCAACTCACAACGTTTCACGCAAATGACATTTCTAACAATTCTTATCCAGTACAAGCCGATTTATATTATGCAATACTGTTAAACCAGAATTAAAGTATCTGATAAGAAAAAGTGTGAGCTGGCGCTTATCCACAGGAACCTCAAATAATTAATTACGTAAACTATAATTCCGTAATGACTAGACAAGAAAGCTGATGCAATTTTTTCCTTAACAAAGGCTGGTCATCCTGAGGCCATCGACATTATTATGGTGGAGGAAGTGAAGCCTCCATGACCATGAACCTGGTCTTTGTAATGCAATTATAACTGTTGGAGAGCAAGAGGCGCCAGAGTAGATTTAGATTTTGCCACCGAAGTGGCTAGTTTATTGTGCATCCCATATTTATTCTGTGAACGGTAGCGCAAGAGCATATGGATACACAAAAGGCCTAGAAACTAGGCCCCGAAAGGGTTAACAGGTGTAAGAGGCGCCACCGTGTGACTTACATGACTATAATTCATCAGGGGATACACACCAGTGACCTGCATGACCATCCTTCACCAGGGGACACATCAGTGACCTGCATGACCATCCTTCACCAGGGGACACATCAGTGACCTGCATGACCATCCTTCATCAGGGGACACATCAGTGACCTGCATGACCATCCTTCACCAGGGGACACATCAGTGACCTGCATGACCATCCTTCATCAGGGGACACATCAGTGACCTGCATGACCATCCTTCATCAGGGGACACATCAGTGACCTGCATGACCATCCTTCACCAGGGGACACATCAGTGACCTGCATGACCATCCTTCATCAGGGGACACATCAGTGACCTGCATGACCATCCTTCACCAGGGACACACCAGGGACCTGCATGACCATCCTTCACCAGGGGACACATCAGTGACCTGCATGACCATCCTTCACCAGGGGACACACCAGTGACCTGCATGACCATCCTTCACCAGGGGATACACACCAGTGACTTGCATGATCATCCTTCACCAGGGACACATCAGTGACCTGCATGACCATCCTTCACCAGGGGATACACACCAGTGACCTGCATGATCATCCTTCACCAGTGACCTGCATGACCATCCTTCACCAGGGGACACACCAGTGACCTGCATGACCATCCTTCACCAGGGGACACACCGGTGACCTGCATGACCATCCTTCACCAGGGGACACACCAGTGACCTGCATGACCATCCTTCACCAGGGGACACACCGGTGACCTGCATGACCATCCTTCACCAGGGGACACACCAGTGACCTGCATGACCATCCTTTACCAGGGGACACACCAGTGACCTGCATGACCATCCTTCACCAGGGGATACACACCAGTGACTTGCATGATCACCCTTCACCAGGGACACATCAGTGACCTGCATGACCATCCTTCACCAGGGGATACACACCAGTGACCTGCATGATCATCCTTCACCAGTGACCTGCATGATCATCCTTCACCAGTGACCTGCATGACCATCCTTCACCAGGGGACACACCGGTGACCTGCATGACCATCCTTCACCAGGGGACACACCAATGACCTGCATGACCATCCTTTACCAGGGGACACACCAGTGATCTGCATAACCATCCTTCACCAGGGGACACACCAATGACCTTCATGACCATCCTTTACCAGGGGACACACCAGTGACCTGCATGACCATCCTTCACCAGGGACACACCAGTGACCTGCATCACCATCCTTCACCAGGGGATACACACCAGTGATCTTCATGACCAACTTTCACCAGAGGACACACCAGTGACCTGCATGACCATCCTTCACCAGGGGACACACCGGTGACCTGCATGACCATCCTTCACCAGGGGACACACCAGTGACCTGCATGACCATCCTTCACCAGGGGATACACCAGTGACCTGCATGACCATCCTTCACCAGGGGATACACACCAGTGACCTGCATGACCATCTTTCACCAGAGGACACACCAGTGACTGCATGACCATCCTTTACCAGGGGACACACCAGTGATCTGCATAACCATCCTTCACCAGGGGACACACCAATGACCTGCATGACCATCCTTTACCAGGGGACACACCAGTGACCTGCATGACCATCCTTCACCAGGGACACACCAGTGACCTGCATGACCATCCTTCACCAGGGGACACACCAGTGACCTGCATCACCATCCTTCACCAAGGGATACACACCAGTGATCTTCATGACTAACTTTCACCAGAGGACACACCAGTGACCTGCATGACCATCCTTCACCAGGGGACACACCAGTGACCTGCATGACCATCCTTCACCAGGGGACACACCAGTGACCTGCATGACCATCCTTCACCAGGGGATACACCAGTGACCTGCGTGACCATCCTTCACCAGGGGATACACACCAGTGACCTGCATGACCATCTTTCACCAGAGGACACACCAGTGACTGCATGACCATCCTTTACCAGGAGACACAAACTACTGGCCTGCTGACCTATCTGGCTCTTAAAGCTAGCTGAACTCCACTTAATTATCTTTCTAGTACTGGAGTCTAGTAGGCTTGAGACTAGAGAGGCAGCTAGACTTTAAAAAATAAGATATTACAAGGACCCCAATGGAAATAAGTCACTTTGGCTGACTTTTTTTGGTTATACTAGGCAATATACACATTTGTTACTATGTATGATAATAGTATTTATGTGTACCTGTACCTAAATATACTTACTAATATCTTAGTCATTACATGACCTGTCCACTAGTGTTGCCATTATCAATCAGCTGAAGGGAAGTAAAACCAGAACAGTGTTAACTTCTATGATTAAGTAGGCTTTCTGGGTTAACAATTTAAATGTCAAATATAGCAAACTATAGTAGTCTAGTAAACTACTATATTCGTCTCATTGTCTTCTAAGTTAATCATAAGGTTAGCTGATATGCTATGCATAACAAGGGACTTTCCATAAATTAATTTATGCCTGTCAATTATTCCACTGTCAACTGTGTACTGTATTTCATTTCAAAGATATAAAGTTGCTTGTTTAATGCCATAAACTGAGATCCTATAGTCAAAAACTGAGATCATAAATCTAAAACCTGAGATTTTAGGGTCAAAAACAATTCTTATGGCCAAAAACTGACGTCCTTCTATGGTCAAAAAACTGACGTCTCACAGCCAAAAACTGAGATCCGTGGTAAAAAAAAAAACATCTTATGTGCTCAGCAGAGAGAGTGAACCCAGTAGTGGCCAAAGGAGAGGCGGGACCAAGAGCTGAGACTCCACCCTTGCAACCATACTTGATTTGATTTGATAAATATTGGACTTCGGTGAGTACAAAATATTCGACTTAGGCGAGTACACAATATTGGACTTAGGTGAGTACACTCTGAGTCAATACCAACAGGTTTTTTGTAGGCTTAGAAGTAATTGATGTGTTGGGCCCCGATCAATTGCCCAGAGGACTGACGATGATTTTTTAGTTAAATATGTTTATTATACACCCCATACCCACTTGTGGGCAGTAGTCAAAAGATTACAGTGGTACATAATGGGTCCAGGGACTGGGCTCCAAAGTTCTGATAAGTGAAATAGGTACAAAGGTAATGAACTCACAAGTTACAAAGGTAATGAATCATGTAAGTAAATTTACTTAATTACGTTTATACATGGCTACAATCATGAACAAATTGTGGAGTAATGAGCAATTGATGAATACAACATCTTAGGGGAGTGAACAGGGAAGATTCTTCACTAATGGCTTATCCTGAGGTAGAGAAAAAACACATTTCACCAAGGCTGCCAGCGCAGAAGTACTTAGGTCAGGGGGGACCCCAAGCCTGAAGACCGGCAGAGCCAGAAGGTAAGTATCCCGTAACTTGGTTGGTAGCTCACACACTGAGGTCCGTGGTTCGATCCCCGGTACGGGTGGAAACATTGAGGGCGTGTTTCCTTAATTAAGACACCTGCTGTCCCTGTTCACCTAGCAGTAAATAGGTACCTGAATGCTAGCAGACTGGTGTTGGTCGCATCCTGGGCCAAACCTAATTTGCCCGAAATGCTCTGCATAACAAGGGGTTTTCTATATAGTATGTTATTGATGTCAGCTAGGTCTGTATAACTGTAACATGTACTTGTAGAAATAAAGATTATTATTATGTAAGTGTTAAGTCAGTAGTGTAGGTAAAGGCGCTGGGCTAGTCGTCTGCTCAGTGTCTGGCCAGCAGCCATGGAGGGAGGAGTGTGTGTAGTGCTTCTCCACCTTTATTACTCCACTCCCTCTAAATACTCAAAAAAATGGGGTGTTTTAATTGTAGTGTAATGAATTCTCCTGACATGCGATTGAAGTATTTTGTGACGTTCGTGATGTATAAGTGCAGCTGTGAAGTGAACAGCCACAAGCGAGGCTCTAATGTTTATTGAAAGATAATTAACTTTCGTGACGATTGTGTTGATAATATATCTCTGCAAAATACTGTTACACAATATAGAATTATTTTCCTCTAAACTTACTGATCCTGAGTTCAGATGTTATACTTGACCTTAGTGGAAATAAGTCACATTGACTCTGTGTTATGCTAAGTTAAATTACGAAAAAATACAATTTTTGTGGCCATAGCATCTATGACCCATACGGACTTAGCGCATATTTTTTAATATATGCATTCGAAAGCTAAATAAAAACTTATTCAAAAATATTACAAGTTAAGAACAGATGTACACTGGGAGGTGCACATCTCTGTATACATGTGTATATACTCTGACAGTTTACCTGTATCCTAATATTAGGGGTAAGCCAGTGGAAGGCCTCGGTCAGATGACCAAAAGCTCCAGCTGTGGGTCATCATATAACTAAGACCCGCGTCAGGAAATACTTTGTCTTGTTTCCTGACAAACTTGACCTAACCTTGAACAGCGACATACAACCTTAGTGACCCTCGTGTATGTGTGTAAGGTCTGTCAGGAAACGAATTACCTTACGCTGGTCCACTGTATCTGTCAGCCACATTATGTTGGATTGTCAACTCTATCACCCAGCATACAGAATTTACCTCCAACGTCGTCTCCGCTCTGCTGCCCTTTCTGTACCTTCCCTTCTTGCTGCCCTTTCTTTACTTCCCTTCTTGCTGCCCTTTCTTTACTTCCCTTCTTGCTGCCCTTTCTTTACTTCCCTTCTTGCTGCCCTTTCTTTACTTCCCTTCTTGCTGCCCTTTCTTTACTTCCCTTCTTGCTGCCCTTTCTTTACTTCCCTTCTTGCTGCCCTTTCTTTACTTCCCTTCTTGCTGCCCTTTCTTTACTTCCCTTCTTGCTGCCCTTTCTTTACTTCCCTTCTTGCTGCCCTTTCTTTACTTCCCTTCTTGCTGCCCTTTCTTTACTTCCCTTCTTGCTGCCCTTTCTTTAGTTCCCTTCTTGCTGCCCTTTCTTTACTTCCCTTCTTGCTGCCCTTTCTTTACTTCCCTTTTTGCTGCCCTTTCTTTACTTCCCTTCTTGCTGCCCTTTCTTTACTTCCCTTCTTGCTGCCCTTTCTTTACTTCCCTTCTTGCTGCCCTTTCTTTACTTCCCTTCTTGCTGCCCTTTCTTTACTTCCCTTCTTGCTGCCCTTTCTTTACTTCCCTTCTTGCTGCCCTTTCTTTACTTCCCTTCTTGCTGCCCTTTCTTTACTTCCCTTCTTGCTGCCCTTTCTTTACTTCCCTTCTTGCTCCCCTTTCTTTACTTCCCTTCTTGCTCCCCTTTTTTTACTTCCCTTCTTGCTCCCCTTTCTTTACTTCTCTTCTTGCTGCCCTTTCTTTACTTCCCTTCTTGCTGCCCTTTCTTTACTTCCATTCTTGCTGCCCTTTCTTTACTTCCCTTCTTGCTGCCCTTTCTTTACTTCCCTTCTTGCTGCCCTTTCTTTACTTCTCTTCTTGCTGCCCTTTCTTTACTTCCCTTCTTGCTGCCCTTTCTTTACTTCCATTCTTGCTGCCCTTTCTTTACTTCCATTCTTGCTGCCCTTTCTTTACTTCCCTTCTTGCTGCCCTTTCTTTACTTCCATTCTTGCTGCCCTTTCTTTACTTCCATTCTTGCTGCCCTTTCTTTACTTCCCTTCTTGCTGCCCTTTCTTTACATCCCTTCTTGCTGATGGATCCTTCTTTAATCCAAACACTCTCATTGACTTGATGACAGCGACTGATTTACTACACAAACTCTGATGATGATGTCTCTAGCACTCTCGTCCGCCCTTTCTACCTTAAAATCTCTTGCTACCCTCTACCCCTGCACTATCCACTGCCCCGCTGCACTCCACACCCTAATAATCATCCCTCTCCCTCTTGCCACCCATTTCCCCTTCCCTGCTCTGCTGCTTTTGGTCATCTGACCGAGGCCTTCCACTGGCTTACCCCTCCACCCTCTTTAAAAATTATAGTTATGATTGTAATCAATTATCCAACTGCTCTGCTTGCTGCAGGCAGGTGTAATATAGTGACCCTCGTGTAGGTGATAGGCTTTAAGTCCTTTTAACCAACTAATCAGTATTATACACTAGGATGTTGATACACGGGTATATAACCGAGAGGTGAATGGTGGCCCGGTGGCCTGGTGGCTAAAGCTCCCGCTTCACACACGGAGGGCCCGGGTTCGATTCCCGGCGGGTGGAAACATTTCGACACGTTTCCTTACACCTGTTGTCCTGTTCACCTAGCAGCAAATAGGTACCTGGGTGTTAGTCGACTGGTGTGGGTCGCATCCTGGGGGACAAGATTAAGGACCCCAATGGAAATAAGTTAGACAGTCCTCGATGACGCACTGACTTTCTTGGGTTATCCTGGGTGGATAACCCTCCGGGGTTAAAAATCCGAACGAAATCTTATCTTAATGTCTGTGTATATACACTAAGAGTTTGATCCCTATATCAGGGATTAAAGTATTCTAGGCTGATGGTGAAGAGGTTAGATGAGATTTTAATGACCCTCACGTAGTCGATTGATTTTAAGCGCAATTAACCAACTAATAATTTACATTATTTAAAAAATTAACATATAAACAGTGAATGTGGCTTCAATAAATCACTTATAATTTAAGGAAGGTCATCGGTGGACGTTAGATATTATACGACGCGTACCATCTATCTACGCTGCAATAACAGTTATTTCTTGGGCAACTTGTTCATCTGGGAGACATTGGCGAAAATATTTTTTTTTTTTAGCCACGAGTGGCAGGTGACACAACATTTCTGTAGTATAGCGGCCTAGCCAGTCACAAAGTTGCTGTGGCCAGTCACAAAGATGTTGTGGCCAGTCACAAAGATGTTGTGGCCAGTCAAAGTTGCTGTGGCCAGTCACAAAGATGTTGTGGCCAGTCGCAAAGATGTTGTGGCCAGTCACAAAGATGTTATGGCCAGTCACAAAGATGTTGTGGCCAGTCACAAAGTTGCTGTGGCCAGTCACAAAGTTGTTGTGGCCAGTCACAAAGATGTTGTGGCCAGTCACAAAGTTGTTGTGGCCAGTCACAAAGTTGTTGTGGCCAGTCACAAAGTTGCTGTGGCCAGTCACAAAGTTGCTGTGGCCAGTCACAAAGTTGCTGTGGCCAGTCACAAAGTTGCTGTGGCCAGTCACAAAGTTGCTGTGGCCAGTCACAAAGATGTTGTGGCCAGTCACAAAGATGTTGTGGCCAGTCACAAAGTTGCTGTGGCCAGTCACAAAGTTGCTGTGGCCAGTCACAAAGATGTTGTGGCCAGTCACAAAGATGTTGTGGCCAGTCACAAAGTTGCTGTGGCCAGTCACAAAGTTGCTGTGGCCAGTCACAAAGTTGCTGTGGCCAGTCACAAAGTTGCTGTGGCCAGTCACAAAGTTGCTGTGGCCAGTCACAAAGTTGCTGTGGCCAGTCACAAAGATGTGGCCAGTCACAAAGATGTGGCCAGTCACAAAGTTGCTGTGGCCAGTCACAAAGATGTTGTGGCCAGTCACAAAGATGTTGTGGCCAGTCACAAAGTTGCTGTGGCCAGTCACAAAGTTGCTGTGGCCAGTCACAAAGTTGCTGTGGCCAGTCACAAAGTTGCTGTGGCCAGTCACAAAGTTGCTGTGGCCAGTCACAAAGTTGCTGTGGCCAGTCACAAAGATGTGGCCAGTCACAAAGATGTTGTGTACAGTCACAAAGATGCAGTGTACAATCACAAAGGTGCAGTGTACAATCACAAAGATGCAGTGTACAATCACAAAGATGCAGTGTACAGTCACAAAGATGCAGTGTACAGTCACAAAGATGCAGTGTACAATCACAAAGATGCAGTGTACAGTCACAAAGATGCAGTGTACAGTCACAAAGATGCAGTGTACAATCACAAAGGTGCAGTGTACAATCACAAAGGTGCAGTGTACAATCACAAAGATGCAGTGTACAGTCACAAAGATGCAGTGTACAATCACAAAGGTGCAGTGTACAATCACAAAGATGCAGTGTACAGTCACAAAGATGCAGTGTACAATCACAAAGGTGCAGTGTACAATCACAAAGGTGCAGTGTACAATCACAAAGATGCAGGGGAGTTAAAGACCTTAGACTGAGTAAGGTTATTAGGTTATTTTAAATTGGGTTAGGTGGGTTTCAATAGGCTTGGTTAGGTTTCTTGCCACTTGCAAAACAATACTATTCTCTGATATAATCTCCACTAGATACTGTGCAATTTAAGACGTATTTTATCGGCGAAATCCGTCAAGGAGCTGCATTAAATTATCACCATAAGATTTTTATCTCCATAAAATCATTGCGGAAGAAATAAAACAAATGACAACTCATCTTGTGGCAATAATAACTATGTACTTACTTTTATTACTCCGAGCGAGGTACCGAGGGATGAGTGGTTGAAAAACTATGACATCAACTGTGACTGGAACAAATTACGCCATCAACTGTGATTTGAACAAATTAAGACGTCAACTGTGACTTGAACAAACTATGACATCACCTGACATCGCATTTTCACGCTCCACTACTCTAAACACTAACAAATGCACTTCGTTTCAAGGCAACAGTGTATGACCCACATAAGTTAGCACTTTAAATAATACAGTAATAATAATAATAATGGAGAAAGAGGTTTTTATGTACATTTAGACAAGTTGTTCTATATGTGTAATAAGTAAGTTATCTCTATGGCATTCTTCTGCCATAATTTAGTTATTTCAAGAACATGTGATTTGATAGAACAAGAAACACAAGTTGGATTATATCACCTGTTATTGAAATAATTTTCTTTTTTTTCAGAAACTAAAAGTTGAAGAGCATTGCGTTAAAGGTTTCTAAATTTTCAAAGGGTGTTGCTTGGTGTAAATATTCCTGCTGTCTTGCATCTCCCAGGATAACACCCACAGCATCGCATCTCCCAGGATAACACCCACAGCATCGCATCTCCCAGGATAACACCCACATCATCACATCTCCCAGGATAACACCCACAGCATCACATCTCCCAGGATAACACCCACAGCATCACATCTCCCAGGATAACACCCACAGCATCACATCTCCCAGGATAACACCCACAGCATCACATCTCCCAGGATAACACCCACAGCATCACATCACTCAAGATGACACCCACTACTCACTAGTGGAAAAAACTAAATATGAAATTGATGAGCAGCAACAGTAGGTCACCTGGAGAGAGAGAAATAGTGTCGATATAGAGCTGTTGCTTAGTGTAAAAAAAAGCAGCTGTGACATATAAGAAGAGCTTTGACTTGTATAGAAAAAGAGCTCTGACATGTAAACAAAACAGCTGTGACCTGTAAATACAGAACAGATGTAACGTTTAATCAAAAAAGTGTTAAAACATGTAAAAAAAACAGCTGTTAAACTGCAGCTGTCATATATACTGCATGAAGGCAGCTACTGTATGCGTACGACAGGCATCACCAGCTGTGACAGGTGTGTACAATCATCGGCTGTGACGTGTCAACAATCATCAGCTGTGACGTGTCAACAATCATCAGCTGTGACAGGTGAGTACTTCACTCATTATTAGTCGTAACTGGTACGTACAACAGTCATTACCAGCTGTAACAGGTACATATAACGATCAGCTGTAACAGGTGCGTACAACAATTATCAGCTATAACATAGGTTTATAACAATCACCAGCTTAGCTGTGACAGGTGTGTACAACAATCATTAGCTGTGACAGGTGCCTCTTCAAGGGGGGCTCCTTGGCGTGGTGAAGAGGCTCTTGGTCTGAGGAATTAGACCTGTCGGTCTACTTCCTCAGACCGAACCTAATTACCCCCCAATCCCCCGTTCCCTATCCCATCCTCCCCTTTTTCCTTTCCTCCTCCTCCTCCCCACCCCTCCCTTTTGCCCTTCCTTTTTGCCCTTCCTTTTTTTTTTCCACAGGCACGCTAGTTCCTAGGGAGGGGAAAGGGTACCGGGGTCCATCCCATTCCTTTGAGGTTCTTGGCGGTGGCGTAGTTTGCCGTGGAATCTGGATTGCCTGGGGATGTCCTGATCCCTCTCCGGTATCCCGGAGGGTGGCTTTGGGTGTCTCGGGCGACGGGTGTATCTCTGGAAGCCACCTTTAGGATTCCGGGGGTGGTGGCCGAAGGAGGTATGCTTTGTGGCGGATTTCCGGCCGCCCTCTCTTTTGTCCACCGAGGTAGCTCGGCAGATGTGAGGTTGCTATCCCGGATTGCCGGTTTACTGGCATGATGGGTAGGGTATGGCACGGGTTCCATGCTGCATCTGCGCTACTTGCGGTGCTGAGGTCCTCTTGGGCGCGGAGGGAGATTTCTGGCCCTTTCATTCCTCCTAGGAACTATCCCTCCCCAGTCCCCCCTTTTTTTATTCTTTTTTTATTTTTATTTTCTTTTCTTGTTTCTTTTTTTTTCTTAAAAACAAAAAGAAAGAAGTAACCTAACCATGGCAGCCCTAGTCCATGAACCTGCTACCCCCGGGCCCCTTCTTGATACCGCACCCCGTTCTGACCCCACCTCGTCTTGGGACCACTCTTCGGACACTCCTCATGCCTCTGTACCTCTTGCCGGTGCTGTTTCCTCACCCGCTTCAGGTACTGAGGCCTCGACTGACTCCTTCGATTTATCTGACCTTCGCTCTCCTCTGACTATGCTTCCGGCCTCTCCCTCTACTGTGCAGCAATTTTTGAATTGCCCGCCCGTTCCACGTTGGACCAACTCTGGTCCCATGCCTAAACAACAACGACAGTTACCTGCTGATGATACTTCTCCACCTTCTCGTTCTTCTCAGAAAAGATGACACGTCCTTCACTACCTTTCCACGCTCAGTTTCAGACTGCACAATGGACTAAATTCTTCACTTTACGACCAACTTCCTCTACTGCCTATCTTTCTGACCACAGTATTGGCAAGGCACTCCTACGCCATGTTGGTAAAGATATTTCTTTTCATGCTCTTAAGAGCGGTACGCGCATTGTCACCGTACAGAATGCTACCCAGGCTCATGAGCTTTCTCGTCTTTCCCATATCGATACTGTTCCTGTAACTTTTGAAAAGCATCATTCCCTCAATTCTTGTAGTGGTACCGTCATTCTGCCCCATACCATAGTTCAACAAAATTTCCAGACATGTGGCACTGACATTCTTGAACAGCTGGAACTCCAAGATCTTCCAATCCTCAAGGTAGACACTTACGTTCTTCCTGCCCGTGGGCGGAGACGATACCCTAGCAATGTGGCTCGTTTAACTTTTGACAGCCATGAACTCCCATCCTCAGTTTATGTAGCAGGACATCGGTTACAAATTTGAAAGGTGATCCCTACACCGCAACAGTGTAGAAATTGCTGGCGATTTGGCCATCCAGCGAAATATTGCAGATCTATCGCTGAATGCCCAGTCTGTGGTGCCGATGACCATTCTAATACGTCTTGCAATCGACCTCCCTCTTGTTTTAATTGTCATGAGGCTCACCCTTCGTACTCTTGCCGTTGTCAAGTCTACTTAAACGAGCGGGAAATCTGTTACCTCAAAGAGGCAGAAGGTCTCCCTTATGCCATGGCAGTTTCTCATCTCCGCCTCCAAGGGAGACTACCTCGTGTTTCTTATTCCTGTGTTTCAAAACGTCCCCCCACTTCTGGTATCCCATCTTCTGCACCCACCTCTGTGGTTACCTCTCCCATAGTCACTCCTGTAGCTAATTCTTTTGCTGTCCTCGGCTCAGACGTCCCTACTTCAACGTCTCAGTCTGATCTTGCTTCTTCGTGTTCTCTCTCACAAGCCTCAGTAAACGACGAGATCTCGTATGACACCTCCTCCCAATCGTCCCTCTACTTCTCAAAAGTCAAAAAAAGGTCCGTTAACACCTCCTACCCATCTTCCACCTCCTCATTTTCCCTTCCCTGTCTCTGTACCTGGTTCTCTCCCCTCTCACTGGCTCTGTTACAAGTGTAGAGGTTCACCCTCCCCCTCGTACTGTACCTTCCTCCCCTGTTCCCTCCCAAGTTTCTTCCTCTTCTGCCACCTCCCAGGTTTCTGCCTCTTCTGTCCCCTTCCATGCTTCTCCAGTTCCCTCCACCCTTTCGCCCCCCCTACCTTGGTACAGTCCATTACAGTTCCAATCTTTACTCATCCTCCCCCTACCATTTCCAATATTGTCTCCCATACGACATCTCTGAATTCTGAAACACTTGAAGCAATCTCTGAATATATTGCAGAGACCAAACCATCAATGGACACTGATCCACCCTCCGCTCCTTCTCTCTCCTCTAGTCCATCTGCGCAACTCCTTTCTTCACAGCCCCACCGTTCCTTCGCTGCTTGAACATTTTCCACTGCCTCCGCATGTGGACTTTTCTAACCCCTCTAGTCCGTAGGAACCCTTACCTGCGGATTTCAGGTATCTTTATCATTGCCAATCATGGCCTATTTACAGTGGAATATACGCGGCCTCAGGGGTAATCGGGTGAGCTTCAGATGTTACTCTCCCAGTTTTCCCCTGTTGGTGTTTGCTTACAGGAACCAAAATTACACTCTGCTGTTATCTCTCCCATCTCAGGCTATAATTTATTGTATTCTTCAGATCCTTTTCCTGATGGGACCTTTAATGAAAGTGCCCTTCTTCTACGCACTGATATTCCGTACCATCAGCTATTTGTTCGTACTTCGCTGCATTACACAGCAGCCCGTATCCACTTGCATAGGTGGTATACACTCTGTTCTTTATATCTCTCTCCTTCTCGGGCATTATCTATTCCGGATATTGCCTTTCTTGTTTCGTCATTACCACCACCGATTCTGTTACTTGGTGATTTTAATGCCCACCATTTCCTCTGGGGGGGTCTCACTGTGATTCCCGTGGCATTCAGTTAGAGGCTTTTCTTGCCACCCACCCCCTCCATGTTTTAAATACAGGTACTCACACCCATTTTGATCCTCGGACTCACATTCTCTTGCATCGATCTCTCAGTCTGCTCTTCCTCTGCCGCATTAGACTTCACTTGGTCTGTTCTTCCAGACTTACATGACAGCGATCATTTCCCAATCATTCTTACTTCCCCTTCATATTCACCACCTCTTCGCATCCCACGCTGGCAATTTGATCAGTCAAATTGGAACCTTTACTCACACCTAACTGTTTTTAGAGAGGTTCCTTCTTCGTCCTCCATCAATGAGCTTTTACACCTCTTCTCGTCCTCCGTTTTAACCGCAGCTTCTCATTCTATACCCCAAACTTTGGGCAGGCATTCTCAGAAATGCGTGCCTTGGTGGTCTCCTGCTTGTGCTCGTGCAGTACGTTTGAAACGCGCTGCATGGGGCAGGTACCGGTACAATAGAACCACAGAGAGACTTCTTGATTTTAAGCAGAAGAGTTTACCTGGAGTTTACCTGGAGAGAGTTTCGGGGGTCAACGCCCCCGCGGCCCGGTCTGTGACCAGGCCTCCAGGCTATCGCTCGCCGTGTCATCCGTGATGCTAAACGCACTTGCTGGCGAGATTATGTCTCCACCATCACCTCTGCTTCCTCTATGTGTGCAGTCTGGAAAAAAGTACGAAAACTGAGTGGTAAATATTCTTCTGACCCGGCTCCTGTTCTGCAGGTTGCCTGTGTTGATATAGCAAACCCACTAGATGTTGCCAATGAAATTGGCAATCATCTGGTCTGTATTTCTCAGGGACTCCATCTATGCCCCTCATTTCTTTCCTCAAAGTCTGCCAGAGAGTTAGCACCCTTGGACTTTTCTTCTCTCAGAGAAGAACAGTATAATGTGCCTTTTACACTTCAAGAACTGGAGGCAGCACTCTCAGCTTGCCGATCATCGGCAGCTGGGCCCGACGACATTCATATTCGTATGCTACAACATTTACATCAGTCAGCCCTTGCAGTCCTATTACGCCTTTACAATCTTATTTGGTCACAAGGAGTTCTTCCACAGCTGTGGAAATCCGCCATTGTTCTCCCTTTCTGCAAACCAGGCACTACGGGACATGAAACCTCCCACTATCGTCCCATTGCTCTTACCAGTGCAGTTTGCAAAGTGATGGAACGCCTAGTAAATAGATGTTTAGTGTGGTATTTAGAGACACAACAGTCTCTCCACTCGTCAATATGGCTTTCGTAAGGGACGTTCTACCATAGACCCCTTACTGCGCTTGGATACGTATGTTCGTAATGCCTTTGCGAATAACCACTCAGTTATTGCCATATTTTTTGACCTTGAGAAGGCATATGACACAACTTGGAGGTATAATATTTTAGCCCAAGCCCACTCCTTAGGCCTTCGAGGCAATCTACCATCCTTCCTTAAGAACTTTTTAACTGACAGGCATTTCCGTGTTCGGGTTAATAATGTGCTCTCCCCGGACTTTATCCAAGCTGAAGGTGTCCCCCAGGGATGTGTTCTGAGCACAACACTTTTTCTCTTTGCTATTAATGATTTGGCCTCTAGTCTTCCATCAAATATTTGGTCATCACTCTATGTTGATGACTTCGCTATTCCCTGTGCAGGTGCTGACTGTCACCTTATTACAGTTTCTCCA